ATTATGTTATGTTCAACACATATTGGTGATGTTCAACATAACATAATAAGACAAGTGCTGCAGTATATAAAACATAGCCATGTTTCCTCCTACTAGCATGTAAGCTTACTGAAGGCCAGGGTTTTGGTTTTGTTTGTTTGTTTGTTTTTTCACCAATATGTGTGAAATATGTCAAGTATCTGACAAATAATAGATGTTCAATAAATGTACAAATGAACGAAACATTTTAAATATTAGCATATGCTAAATTTAAATCTTAATTTGGTATCTACTGACTTAAACAAGTTATTTCATGAAGTTGCTGCATGAATTAAATGATAGTCCATATTGGAAAGCACAGTTCTGATACAGAGAAAGCCTTTAGTAAACTCAGTCAACAAGTGTTTACTGAGCACTTATAATGTACAAAGTATCCCTGTAGACACTGGGGTATATGTCACTGAATGTAGCAGTCATAAATCTCTACTACTGTGGAATTTATTTCTAGTTTCCTTCACTTCATTTGGTACAATTGTTTCCAGAGAGAAAATTGTGATTCTACCTACCTATTCACTGGTCTTCCACCCTAAATTCATGTTCAATTAATGCTTACAGGTACTCATTTTCCTTTATTTTAAAAACACTTTCATAGCATTGTGAAGACCTGGGATCGGTCCCCATCACCACAAAAAAATATAATAAAAAAAACACTTTTGTATTCAGTTATGCTATTCTTAATTTTATTAATTTATTAACTTATTCTTGATTTTAAAATCTTCCTTTTGCAGGTGAGAATCTGAAATTTGGAAGTTGTGACTAGCCCAGTGTCTTAGAACCTAGGGATAACTGAGCCAGTGTGAGTATCTGGGAGAAAGGAAGGAATGTGAGCAGTAGCAGAGATGCATTGTGAATATGGAGAATTATAGGCTTTCAGAGTTATTAGAGTATAAAGGATGAAGCAAGGAATAGACAGAGATCAAGCTAGAATACAAAGTAATTACCAGATACCATGTCCTGTAGATAGAACTCTCACCAAGACTACTCTTAGATGTTTTGGTCATTTATCCATTCTGATCCAGTCAGATGTAGCCAAGGCAGAAGAACTGCATGGTATAAAGTATAGTGACCTGTACATAAGGAATTCTCAGAAGCGAGCAGTGGGCAATTAAGCATGGTGTATACACTGAGCTTTCTCAGAACAGGATTATGTTGCCAGAAGGCTCAATGAATGGTTCTTTCAGGATAGAGGTACATTAGAAAACAAACTTAGAGACAAAGGATATTTAGTGGTATCAATCTACATAGCTATGTGATCTTTCTAAATAGCTTGATCATGGGACCAGAAAGATGAATGTAAATAAACATTGATCCAGTTTTGATTTTGGATAGCTGATCATTAAGAAAATGGAGGATATTGATAATTGAATACTTTAGATAATTGGCCAGGAAGTCCAGTTAAATAGAGAAGGAAAAAAGAACAAGAGGATAGCTGATAGTGGGCTAAGGACTTCAGAGTCTTTAACTACAATAGTACATTCATCTATTTCTCCTAATAACTCTCAGTTTTTATGTCGTGTTCCTTGATGCCCTGTGTTTAGGCACAGACACACTAAAGATCATTAGGTCTTTTTTGAAAAATTAACATTTTTATCATTATGTAATACTCTTCTTGATACTTGGTAACTTTTCTTGCTCTGACACAAGCTCTGTCTAAAATTAATAGCTATTATTATTTTATTTTGACTGGTGTTGGCATGGTTTATCTTTGCCATTCATTTACTTTTTAACTATATGTGTCTACATTCAATGTGAACTTCTTAAAGACAGCATATGGTTGGGTCTTACTTTTTGATCCACTGTGCAAATACCTTTTAATTGGAACATCTAGACAGTTAACATTCAGAGCAATTTTTTTATATAGTTAGATTACTATCTACCTTATTTGTTACTATTTTGTTTGTTGCCCTGTTCTGTATTATTTTTTCCTTCCATTTTTTTTCTACTTTTCACGGTTTTAATTGGACATTTCATTTCCTTTTTTCCCCTTATTATATCATTTATAATTCCTTTTACTTTTTTTAATGGTTGACCTGGAGTGTGCTACATATATTTACAACTAATCCAAGTTCACTCTCAGTAACACTGTACCTCTTCACATATAATGTAAATACTTTATAATAGCAAAATAATTCTAATTTTCCCTTCCTATCCTTTATATTATTGCTGTGATTAATTTTGCTTATGTATGCATAATCAAATACATTATTGCTATTAATATTTTAAACAAATGTTTGTATTTTACCTTCACTTTCTTCTTCAGTGTTTTTTTTTTTTTTTAATTCATTCAGCTCCAAGTTTCTGACCTATATTATTTTGTATCTCTTTAAGGAACTTCTTTTAACATTTCTTGTCAGGCAGGTCTACCAACAACAAATTTTTTCAATCTTTGTTTGAGAAAGTATCTACTTCACTTTTGAAGGGTGATTTTGCAGGTTGGAGAATTGTAGGGTGGCATGGGTTTTTGTTTGTTTCTTCTCAATACTTGAAATATTTTACTTCATTTTTCTCTTGCTTCCAAGGTTTCTGAGAAATCAGATGTAATTTTTTTATTCTTCTGTATACAAGGTGGTTTTCCCCCGTCTGGCTTCTTTCAGAATTTTTTCTTTATCTTTAATTTTCTATAGTTTGAAATATGTGGTTTGGGGCAATGTTTTTATTGTTCTTGTTTTGTTTTGTTGCTGTTGTTATTTTTGTTATTTATGGAGCTTGGTGTTCTGTGGATCTGTGGTTTGGTTCTGACGTTAAGTTGGGAAAATACTAGTCATTGTTTCAGATATTCTGTTACTTTTTCACCTCTCCTGGTATTCCCATTATGAATAGGTTATACCTTTTATGGTTGTCCCACAGTCCTTGGATAATCTGTTTTGATGATTTCAGTCTAGTTCTATTTGTTTTTCAGTTTTGAAGGTTTCTTTTTGTTATATCCTTGTGCTCAGGGATTCTTTCCTCAGCCTTGTCCTAACAATAAGTTTATGTATATAATTTTATGTAGTATCTAAATCCTACGTTAAATTACAAGTTCTTCTAAGGCAGATTGTGTGTTTGTTTTATCTTTGATTTTCTTGTAACTTCTAGTACAATTCTATACCACAAAGATATAAAATGAATTTTATTAAATAAATACATTAAAATATGAAATAAAATCAAATAAAAACCTAAATAAAGTTAAAGTATTGCATGGGTGAACATTGACTAGGACACATTTAGTCGGCTGCTTTACCCTGTGCATGTGCACATGTGCGCAAGTGTGTGCTTGTTGTCAAGGCCCTCTCAACTTAGGGTAGTGATTTTTTTAAACAACCCTATACTCCTCCTAGAATTCTATAATCTTAACTCTAGTTTGCTGACTGCATTTATGGGCAATATGGTGATTCATTCTAATTGAGTTACAGAAAATAAAGCCTGTGCCCTGGAGAACTAATGACAGTAACTCTCCCTAATGACTCTTAAGTCTGTATGGAGACCAAGCAAATGACTGTCTCTAAGTATTACAGTACTTTCAAAAAAGAACTTGTTTTCTCTTTCTTCTAATGTCTCTATGTATGTAGAAGCTGGAACAAAATGATAGTTTAGAGAATTATGCCTATGTGATATTTTCTAGATTTTACACTTGGAAGAGGAAAGGCCAGGCCAAGACTTTATGCATGTTATGCTACTGAGCTACATCCTCAGTCTGTACTTACTCTTTCAGCATCAAGATCAATAAAATATTGACACGTTTTTTTCTTCACTCATCTAATAGCTGTAATTCATGTACAAAACTGCAAAGGTACATGGAGCAAATGCCTCCTGTGGCATTGATATCCATCCCTAACACATGCCTGTTGAAATGCCTAACAGCAAGCTATAAAAATTACACAAATATTTGCACAGAAATTTTTAAATTTACTAACTTCTTCCTATAAAGACTTCTAAAATTAAATCTTTTAACAAAATAAATAAATAAATAGTTGTAATTCAAATAAGTTTGTTTCCATTTTTCTCTAATGAATGGAGTAATGCCTAAGTGTTTAAAAAATATGTGACTTGATAAAACACCATGGTAGTCTGTGCTACTGTTTACCAAATATTTCTAGTTCTCTTTCGGGGTTTCTACAAATCCCTTCCCCATAGATGTTAGGTGTGGTCACAAGTTTGTTTTGATTTTTTTGTTTGTTTTGTTTTGGTTTGGGTTTGGGTTCGTTGAAATGAAACTAAAAGTGATATGAAGTTTTAAAAGCTAGTACAGTTATCTCCATTTAAATGTTAACTTTACAAATACCATATCCAAAGTGATATGGACCTAATTTTAACAGTCTTCTTTTTAATTCATTTATTTATTTGTTCTAATTTGTTATGCATGACAGCAGAATGCATTTCAATTCATATGGAGCACAATTTTCCATTTCTCTGGTTGTACATAAAGTAGAGTCACACCATTCGTGTTGAGACTACCAACAAGTTACCTTGTACTACTTAGTTAATTCTTTTTTTGATGTCTTAAGGTCAAGTTTCTTTTCTCAGTGTCACTGTCAGTTCCTGCAATATACCAAGTACTTTCTCATTTCAGGTCATTTTCACATTCTGTTCTCTTTAATTATTTGCTCTTAATTTAGGAAATCACTTTGTGTCATTTCTTTTGAAATTGCTGATACTATCTTCATAGAAAAGATTACATTTGTCAATGTTTTATTGTTGTGTTTTTAAAAATCTATTAGTAAAGTTAGAAATTTTTTACATAACTAGTATAAACTAGAAATAAGAACTCAGTGCTATCAAAAACTTTAATTATCACAGAAAATAAAATGATCTTATCACTTACCAAGTGGTTTCAAGCAACTATTACATATAAAAAAAATTGAAATCTGGATTCTGTTTCAAGTCTACATTATAAAAATCTGAACACATTTTGCAAATTTAGTGCAGAAGGTAATATTCCCTGTTGATTCTCTCTCCCATCACCATCTGCCTTTTCATTCTAGGGATTCTTCAGCAAGCGCCTGAAAGGCTCCATCAAGAGGACCAAAAGCCAGTCAAAGCTTGACAGAAACACAAGTTTTCGGCTCCCATCTCTGCGTAATACAGATGACAGGTAGGAAGTCAGCTTGCTTAAAACAGAAAGCAGTGTCAAAATGGATTTTGATGATTCATCTTGGCCTTTTCTAACTTTTCAGTAATGATAATTTTAGAAAGATCAATATGAAATTTATTTTTTTACCTTGTTCATATTGAGCAGGGTACAGTATGTTGTCTCAAATGCCAATCCAGTTTAAGAATCTTGAGAGTTTGTGGATTCATAAGAACCAATTAAGGAATCAATTATGCTTCTTTGATAAGAGTGAAATTCTAGTGGTCAGGGGTGAATCTTTCTTTTTTTTTTTTGCTAGAATGACTCTAAGAGGTAATGATGATGATGGTTAATAATTTTTGAGCATTGTATATGTTATCTTTCTATTGCTATGACAAAATACCTGATAAAATCAACTTAAAGAAGAAAGATTTATTTTGGCTCATGGTTTCAGAAGTTCCAGTCCATGTTTATTTGGCTCCGTTGATCCTGAACCTATGGTGAAACAGAATATCATGGTGAGGGAGGGTATGCCAGAGCAAAGCTGCTTGCCTCATGGCATTCAAAACCCAGAGAGAAAGAGAGAGGAAGGAAGGGGCCTGGGACAAGATATACCCTTCTAACTTCCAACTAGGCCTCACCTCCTGAAGTTTCCACCACCTTCCAGTAGTACCACTGGCTGGAACCAGTGAGGCTTCAACACATGAGTCTGTGGGGAACATTCCAGATCTAAACTATGCAACTCTACAGGGTGTTTTATGCTTATGATCTTATTTATTTAATCTCCATAATAAATCTATATGATAATACTGTTATTATCCCTGTTTTATAGATGAAGAATCTGAGGTACCGAGATTCTTACCCAAGATCATATAGCTAGTAAATAATAAAAATGATATTTGAATTTGGGCAATTTGGCTTCATAGTTCATTTTCTTCACTACTTTGTTATTCTCTCTATATGGCATATGGAATTGGCATTGTTGGTTTATAGTCACATCTGGAAGACATGTAATGAAAAAAAAACATGGATTTCAATAAGGACTATACTAGCTTAGGTAAACTTAAAATGTATATAGTTCATGAAGGATAACATTCCTCTAAAATCATTGAACATGCATGATACATTTTTAATATTTTGTGCCTCTGTAATGTTGATAATTTTAGAGTGTTGCATCAGTACATCATTGCCAGCACCAGTTTTTATTGAGTGCTTACTATGTGCCAGGCATTTCAAATGTAGTCTCATATAATACAACCCTAGATACTATTATTATCCTCATTTTACAGACGAGGAACTGAGGCGAAAAGAGATTGAGAAACTTGCCCAGTGTCACACAGCTAGTAAGTAGTGGAGCCTGGATTTGAACTCAAGTCTGCCTCTCATATTTGATGTCCTTATTTATATTTGAGGTTTTGGGTTTTGGATTTTTTGATGTTGTTGTTTTAGTAAGTGACATTATTTTCAATCACTTTCTTAACAAAAAGAAAGAAAAATTATAGGCTTGGCAGGCAGAGAATTATTGTCCTTGTTTTATAGATGAAAGAATTGTCCCTCATACTAAGCTGATGATGAGACTACTGCTTCATGCCACAACATGGCTGGAGGTGGAGATCATTATGTTCAGGGAAGTAAGCCAGGCACAGACAAGTGCTGCATGATCTTGGTCATACGTGAGATCTAAAAATATTGATCTCATAAAAGCTCTTTTCTCTTAACCACGTTAAAAGTGCTCATGGAAATTTACAAGCCTGTCCAATTGGCATGTAATTTTCGTAGTATCTTTTACACCTCTTGGTGTATAAATTATTAAATTTAATTTTCTAAATTTAATTTAACTGATGGAAACATTAATTTTATTTATTAATGGAGTACCATGTGATGTGTCAATACTTGTATACCGTGTGTAATATTTAAATCAGGATAAACATATTTATCTCTTCAAATGTTGACCATTTATTTATGGTGAAAACATTCAAAATCCTTCCTTCTGCCTTGTTGAAATATACAGTACATTCCTGTTATCTGTAATCACCCTGTTATTCCATAGCATACCAGAGCTTCTCACTCCTGTCCAACTATAACTTAGTGCCCATTTGTCAATTTCTCCCCCTCCCTCCCTTCCTCGCACTCTCTAGCCTCTCTGTCATTCTACTCTCGACTTTTATGAGATTGACATCTTTAGATTCCACATATGAGTGAAAGCATACAGTACTGGTGTTTCTGTCCCTGGCTTACTTCACTTAACATAATGATCTCTACTTCCATTCTTGTTATTGCAAATGACAGAATTCATTCTTTCTGTGGCTGAATGGTATTCCATTGTCTACCACATTTTCTTTATCCCTTCACCAGTCAGTGAACACTTACTTGGTTTTTATTTCTTGGCTATTTTGCATAGTGCTGCAGTGCCCATGGTAGTGCAAATGTCTCTTCAACGTACTGACTTCATTTTCCTTGGATATATACCCAGCAGTGGGATTGCTAGATCAGACACTAATTCTATTTTCCATTTTTTGAGGAACTTCTATATTGTTTTTCATAGCCATTGTAAATGGGATTGCTTTCTTGATTTCTATTTCAGATTTTACTGTTGACATATAGCAACACTAGTAGGTTTTGCATGTTAATTTTGTACCCTGCAACTTTGCCAAATTCATTTATTAGTTCTAATAGATCATATATATAATTTATAAAATTAGATTTAATAATTTACGTATATTATACACACACATACACACATAGATTACACATACAGAGAGTATGTAAGGTCATCTTCAAACAGTGTAATTTCACTGGTTTTCCAGTTTAGATGCCCTTTACTTCTTCCTCTTGTTTGATTGCTCTGGCTAGAACTTCCAGAATTATGTTGAACAGAAATGGTAAAATTGTCTTGTTCCAGACCTTAGAGAGAAAGCTTTCTGCTTTTCCCCATTCAGTATGTTAGCTGTTGACTCAACTATAATGGCCTTTATTACATTGACATACATTCCTTTTATACCTAATTTTTCAGCGTTTTTATCATGAAGCAATGTTGATTTTGTCAAATGCCTTTTCTGTATCCACCAAGATGACCATATGGGTTTTGTCCTTCATTCTGTTGATATGGTGTATCATGTTTATTTATTTGTGTAATATTGAACCATCCTTGTACCACTGGGATGAATCCCACTTTATCATGTTAATCTTGTTAACGTGTTGTTAAGGATGTTTATATGTTTGTTCATCAGTCTGTAGTTTTTTTGTTGTTATTGTCATGTTCTTTTCCAGTTTGGGTATCAGGATAATGCTGGTCTTGTAGATTGTGTTTGGAAGAATACCTTCCTTTCTCTTCTCTTTTTTGGAATAACTTAAGGAGAATTGGTATTCTTTAAATGTTTGATAGAATTCAGCAGTGAAACCATCTGGCCCTGGACTTTTCTTCAATGAAAGGCTTTTTATTACTAATTTGATCTGGTTATATACTTGTTATTGCTCTATTCAGGTTTTTTATTCATGGCTCAATCTTGGTAAGGTGTATGTGTCTTGAAAATTGTTCATTTCTTCTAGAGTATCACACTTGTTGGCATACAGTTGTTCATACTAATCTCTAATGATATTTATATTTCTGTGATACCTATAATGGTATCTCCCCTCTAATTTTATTCGAGTCTCCTCTCACTTTTTCTTAGTCTAACTGATTGTTTTCTGAATCAACCCTGTTTTATTGATCTTTTGTATTGCTTGGTATTTTTTTTCGTTTGGCTAATTTTGTTTTGGGGAGTCTCCATTTTATCTATTTCTTCTCTACTCTTTGTTATTTCTACTAATTTTGGTTTGCTCTTGTTTTTCTAGTTCCCTCAGATGCAGCAATAAGTTATTTACTTGAGATATGTCTTTTTGATATGGGCATTGATTGCTATAAACTTTTCCTCTAAGTACTGTTTTTGCTACATTCTATAGGTTTGGATATGTTTGTCTCCATTTTCACTTGTTTATACATCTTAGTTTTGAGGTAATCATTAAAAAAAATGGTTTTCTGGGTTTTTTTCCCTTAGTTTCCTTTTTTAAAAAAATTCTGTATTGTTTATTCTTTTTTGTTGATTTTATTTTTTTAAATACATGACAGCAGAATGCATTACAATTCTTATTACACGTATAAAGCACAATTTTTCATATCTTTGCATATAAGTATGTTCACGCCAATAACTCTATAATTTTCATCATTTCAGGAGCTCAGAGCATTTTTTAAATAAGTCCAATAAAATAGAATGACAATTTTTTCACAGTATATATTTTTAAGAATAAGGATATTGTACAGCAATTAAAACACTCCCAATTCAATAGCCAGTTTCTTATACTCTGCAGCATCATATGCAAACTTGGGAGACAAGAAGGTTTTTTTTTTTAATAAGTATATTTTATTTTTCAACTTTGTACTAAATATTACCTTCTTAATTTCAAACAGAGTTCTATCTTCTATTCCATTTTGCTTTAAGTAATCTATAGGAATTGTTGGCTTGTATTACCAAGAGATTATATTCTCCTAGAGACTTATATTGCTTTTATATATATATAGTTCCGGCATTTTTAGCCTTTTAGTGTGACCTAAATTGATTATATGTGACTTCCATACTGTTGTTTCAATCAATAGCAGTATCATTCTATCTCAAATACAGCAAAATAAGTAGGTGCTGATGAATTTCAAACATTAGATAACCCTCTTTATTTTCCAAATCTATTTGAATTATAAAGATTTCCTGTAAAAATTTTTTTAAAACTTTATTTTTATTTTGTATTGGGATGAACTAAAAGTTGTAATGCACTGTTTGTGCACGTATATATACATACATGTATGTATTTTAAAAAAATATTTATTTTTTAGTTATATGTGACCACAATATCTTTATTTTATTTTCATGTGGTGCTGAAGATCAAACCCAGTGCCTGACACATGTTAGGCAAGCTTTTACCTCTGAGCCTCAACCCTAGCCCAATACACATATGTATTTTTAATAGACTCTCTCACCTTCGGGTCTCTAAAG